GCAATGCGGAGGCAAAAGGGAGGTATAGTAAGAAATGGCAATATACAACATTGTTTACTGCACATAGCTGCATTTAAATGACTTAATTTACATGATTATACGTGTGTTATGAGGCCTGTAGTACAACCGAAACATAACCCTTTAGAACCGCTATGTATTTTTTCCTTCCTAATCGTGTACTGGAAATGATTCTTGAAAAAACAACATGCTTGGGGTTGAACTTTTTCCGGTTTTCTGCTTGTTGTGAAATATCTGCGTAGACTTGCGCGGTCCATTCCGATTCCGCACACTTAGTCTTCTAAATTCTTACTTTATATGGTAACGCAAAAAAGAGAATTCATTCTAGATAGCAAAGCTTCAATCCCCATCTGTACTCACTGGCTTTTATTAAATTTGATGAAAATACTCTTGCCAGATATTAAATGTCACCTTTTGACACCACGATGAAAATACTCACACCATTTTCAGCTCCACTTCGCAGCTGTTAGGTGAATAAAAACATATTCTGTCGGAGTCTCCTTGATATTTTCGTTTTTTATATCTCGGTTTGACTTGCGCAAGCAGCATTCCTCCTAGTCGCCAATTGTCTAAAAAATGATGGACGCTCGATTTAACTGTCTGTTTGTTTAAATTTTGTTTTTCATACCAGTCTTATGCTTTGCTTTCTTTGATTTAAGAGGATAACCTTTAAATTGATATGAATGTATGCTTTTTGTTGCAGTATACAGCAATGCAGTCACTGGTGAAAATTGCCAAAGTTACAAAATAAATCCCATCGAGAGAAATGTCACCGCACGGCCCAACTCATGTACGTCTAACCAAGTGCATACTTTCAGATACTGGTAAAACTTTATATCAGTCGGTTGTTAAATATATTTTCTTCTGATTTTAGCTCCATCAAATCCTCTTCTGGGAGAGAATACGCAGCATTACACTTATCGCGTTGGTGAGAAGCAGAAAGTTGTGAAAAAACGAGGTTAGTAAATGGAGTCACTTAATGGTTACTTATCGTCACACTATCTGTTCAACCGAACAATATAACTTCAGAAGAAAACGACTCGATCGCTGGGACAATACTTTTATTCGCCTGACATTTCGAGATCCATCGCGGGTTCACCATGAGAGACATAAGCAGAAAGCAGTAACAGACTGGTCCTGTAGCGACTCCAAACTGCTGCTGTCAATGAACGGTTAGGAGCTAGAAAATTCGGACATACTAAATTGTAAAATTATACATTATATTCGTTTCTGAAGAGATGATTCCGTCGACAGGCGGCTTAAACCTAACGGAGTACTTACATCTATCAAGACACAAATAGCCATTTCAGGGTCCGTGCTGTTTTTTGGTAAAACTTCCAAATGTTTAGCGGTTCATGGTTATGTGACAGATTACTTTGACTGCAAGGTTTTATGGGATATCGTTACAACTTTGGACTTGAAAACAGCTGCTTTTATGTTATACAAAACCATTAGGCTCAGGAACAGCCATATTTCTGATTCAATTGACTGAATTTAAATTTTGTTGTGTAATTGAACTGCCATCTCATCCAAAGTAGAATAGAAGTCACATTCAGTTTACTATTCTATCTGATTTCTAGACCTTAGTTCCCCATTGACCGGTCCCGGATCGCGCGGAAACACCTACTCGGTGTCCGTAGAGGAACGCCGGCGCCCGAGTGTCGGATCGATAACGCGTAGCGGAGCCGCCACCAGCAATGGAAGCAGCCGAAATATTCTCACCGGTGAAAACTGCTCCACCTACACAGTTTGCCAAGAGATGCGCAGTGAACGCAAGGCTAGTCTCCCATCGAGTGCTTCTTTCAATGGAAACAAAGGTATGATAATAGAAGAATGCCACATAGGCACACGAGTAAATAACGAAAAAAATATTTTCCCTGGTGTTACTAGCTGTAGGAACTATGGGAATTTCTTCTATCTCCACTATATATTTCGACCAAGAACGCACGCGCAATTAGCGACAGCAGTTAAAACCCCTTGGTTTTATGCAAATCCCTGCTAGGACTGTTTTCTCTATGTTAGTTCCGACTGTCTATATGACGAGCATTCCGACTGTCAGGTTTGCCGACTGTTACCATCAATAATGAGTCAAATCTAAGCGACCTTAGGAGCAGTCGGGCAGCCGCGACCGTCTCGTTAGTCATGATTTGCAGTCTCACATCAGAGGGGTTGAGAGTGATATAACTATGAAAACAGTTTTCTTGGGATTTCACATTTCCCGCTGGTGTATAATAAGAGCTAGACGCTGCCGACTGCATCCGTTTAAAATCAGAGCGGACTCGCATAATATGGCTTCGGGTTTTATTTTGCTCGCTAGTAACAAGGAACATTGCCATAGGCTTAAACGTAATAGCCCTGGTAGAAAAGTATTCAACTTCCCAAACTGGCCATTTACTGTGCAAAGAATAACATCATCGCACAACCATGTATAAAACCCTTTTTGGACCACAACGTGCCACAAGCACGTTTGGTCTATGAGCTCACTGTCCATGTATTCTTAGGCTTCAGTTTCATCACCAAAATTTGAATAGATAACGAAGAAGATGGAATTGAGGAATTCAATCCTAAACCCGAAGTCCCTCGCCAACCAAAGTCAGGTATTGCTAGGTAAAAGGAATAAAGAATTAATTAATCATCGCACCTGTGCTACGACATGCAAATGCGCAAAGACAGGCTAGAGAAACGAGATAAATCTGATCAAAATATTAATTTTGGATGATAGGATTATTCGGTAACAGCCAAAAGTTCTGCAGAAAAAGTCCACAAAATGAGTCAGGCAAGTGTTAACATCCAGTATTCTCTATTTCCTCTCATATTTCACTTAAATAATCTCGCTTATGTCAAAAAAACAAGCCTACTAAATTCAGAACTTCCGAAAAATTCTCAAATAGAAAAAAGTAAGTTAAGCTTTTTTGGTAGGCGTGCATTTTAAATTCCAATGGGAACGACCGTTTTAAGGGTATTATATGTCCCTTTAAAATAGATCGGACCACAATCTTCTTCTTTGTCAGAATCACTTTTTCAGTAAAACGGCGCTTATTAAGGAAATCAAGAAAAAATAGATTCTAAGTTCTATTTGTAAAAAATAAAACTATACCTGACATGTCTTTTTTTCTTTCAGGAGGATATAACATCATTACCGGAATGGCGGGCTAACTACCAAAGCAAACTTTATCTTTTCAGTTTGGAATATTTTGAACATCAGTACATTCGCATAACTACTTCCCTTTGTCAGTCCCAAGCCTTCAACAAATTTGATTTCGATGGGCGTCCCTGCCCAGTTTTCACTTAAGCCCATTGTTTTCGATCTGTTTGTCATTATAAACACCCTCACTACCATAATCCACCAAGTCCTCAAAGTTATTTAAGGGCAAATGGGTGTGACAAGGATTTGGCAAAAACATCTAATAGGCGGCTTTTTTCGTAAAAGAAATTTACCAGCCAAGTTACCTGGGCCAGCATAGTATTTTTTTTTATTTGTTTATGGCAATAGTGAATTTGGGCCCAAAGTCTTGTGGGTTTAGGCTTTTTTAACATCTGGAAATCTAGATGATTCTCAAATTTAGTGCAAAATTGGTCCCGATGTTTTTACTGCTTGCAATTGGACGAGCACCTATTCGAGGAGTGCAGTCGTCAAGGTGGTTGAGATTTTTCATCCACCAATTGAGTACTGAAAGCGGGAGTATGACGTTTGAAGTAAACCAGTCAGTTGGATAAACGTAGCCTTCAGAAAATAAATCCCGGGCAGAATGACTACTGCATATATGTTCAGTGCGAAATTTCCAGATTCCCTCCATTCAATACGATAGACCGTTTCCACAATTGAGCACAATGCCGGCTTCGGGTCCTCAGTTAACTTTGCACTCCTTTACGCTGCACCCAGTAACCAGCCGATCGATGGGATTTATTTTTAGGTCTTAATTACCATACTAATTGAAATATATATTACTATTAACATCGTATAATCAAGCTTTTATCCTCGTTGGGGATTTGGATAATCGTATAAATGGATTAGATGCAATCCGACCTAAACGACACCACTTTAAGCAGGAATGGATTGCCCTATTTAGGGCAAATTGATATAAATTTGCAGCACACGTTTTAAAATGTGTCTCTCGCTCGTGGTATTAAGTTTGGCTATTCAGTCAGCCCATGTTCCGTCTTCATCGATAGCCCGATATCCCATTCTCACTATAGAGCCCGTGATGCTAAAGGTTTGCCGGCTGATTTTGTAGGAGGGCTATAATAACCAGTATCAAATCAGTAAACGTTCATGAGGTTAAGGAGACAGTTTGGGGAAAATTGGCGTGGATACTCACCTGAGATCACACAATCTATAG